ACCTCAGGGTTTAGGGTTTAGGGTTAGGGTTTAGGGTTTAGGGTTCAGGGTTTAGGGTTTAGGGCTTAGGTTTCAGGGCTTAGGCTAGGGTTTAGGGCTTAGGGTTTAGGGCTTAGGGTTGAAGGTTTAGGGTTTAGGGCTAGGGTTTAGGGCTTAGGGTTTAGGGTTTTTGGTTTTAGGGTCTAGGGTTTTAGGGTTTGGGGTTTAGGGTTCAGGGTGTAGGGTTTAGGGCTTAGGTTTCAGGGCTTAGGGTTGTAGGGGTTTGGGGGTTAAGTGTTTGGGGGTTTGGGGGTTTAGGGGTTTGGGGTGTTTGGGATTTTGGGGGTTAGGGGTCTGAAGTGTAGGAAGTTAAGGAAGTTTTGGGGTTTTATATCGGTGTTGTCCCAAAGTAGCGGTACCCCCATTTCTACCCCAAAAGGTTAGAATCCCGATGAGAGGAAGGGTTTAGGGTTTAGGGTTTAGGGTTTAGGGTTTAGGGTTTAGGGTTTAGGGTTTAGGGTTTAGGGTTTAGGGTTTAGGGTTTAGGGTTTAGGGTTTGGGGGAAGCCCCGGAAAGGGTACCCCCATGTGGTGAATGGTTGAGGGTTGAGGGTTTAGGGCCTGGATGCGAGAGTCCCAGGAAGCCCAATGTCCCTTCACAGAGGAAGACGCCACAAGGGTTTAGGGTTTAGGGTTTAGGGTTTAGGGTTTATTGAAAGTTTCAAGCTCTGCGGGCTCATTCCAAGTTCTTCCCGCGCGCTCTGCTGGGTCGGCGCTGCATCCTTCAAGTGCGTCGTGTTCGCCTGGAGTTGTTCAACTTCCGCCTTCGCCTCGAAGCGCGTCGCGCCTGCGCAAGCGTCTTAGTGAAGTCTTGGTGTCAGCCGGTGACACGCACTTGGTTCCAGTCAGTGAATCAAGGCAAAGCTCGCACCATCATTGCCACAACCCTAGGATGAAGAAGGCTCCGATACGGCTGCAGCCCGAAGAATGCAACCCAAACTCCTCTTCCACAGACTAGCCATGGGATCTTCCCCATTATACTAACAGGCCTTAATGGGGATTATCATAGGGGTACTAGAATCCCTATCAGGGACGGGGAACATCCCAAGACGAGCGCCTTAATTATGAAGTAATTGCGCGCATGGACTTCCTTAGCCATCCAGTACCTGCTTTTCTGTAGGGTCTTGATCTAAGCCTGAACACAGAACTTCAAGGGACCCTGGCAAATGAAGGTTCTGAAAGGAAAACAATAAACCCCAAATCCTAAACCGCAATCCACAAAACCCCAAAAACAAAACAAACCCCAAACCCAAACCCTAAACCCTAAACCCTCAACCTCAAACGCCCAAACCCCACAACTCCTAAACACTAAACCTATTTGTTCTCCGTAGGGACTTGAGGGCATTATATCAGGCCCCTCACTACCTCATTCCCTACTAAGAACCAGCAGTACACCGGCCCAATCATGGAACCCAAAACCCAAAAACTCCCGAAGGTCGAGCCTGCAAGAACAATCAGAACGGCCAGCGAGGTGCTCTGGTCTTCGAGCCCTAAAACCGAAAAACACACACAAAAAACAGAATCCCGAAGCCCGAAGAAGCAACGCAACCAAAGCCCCTCCCCCCCTCCCCCCAACAAGAAACACCAAGCCCAAAAACACAAACAAGAAACAAACAGCAAAAAACTAAGCCGACCCCCCCCCCCCTCCCCCCCCACGAAAAAAAGAAAACCGTGTGTATCTATATATGTATATATAACAAAAGCAATCCCCCCAAACAACCCCCCCCCCCCTCCCCAAAAAGACCAAACGCGCCGGGGGCTCCCCGGTCTTCGAGTAGAAGGCGCCCATGCGCTTCGAGGTGCCGGCGGGAATGCAGGGCGCCTGGGCTTCGACATGACAAGGGCGGTCTGGGGGTTGGGGGTGGGGTTTAGGGTTTAGGGTTTGGGGTTTAGGGTTTAGGGTTTAGGGTTTGGGGTTTAGGGTTTAGGGTTTGGCGTTTAGGGCGAAGGTTTCAGGGTTTAGGGTTTGGGGTGGGGGTGTCGAGGTTGCAGGTTTAGGCTTTAGGGTTTTTTCGTAGTGGTGTATAGGGGCTTAAAGGGTTTAGGGGTTTAGGGTTCATACCTTTAGGGTTTAGGTATCAGTTTTTAGGGTAGACCCACAAGCAGTTTCAAGCCAGTCCATAGACACGGATACAAAGACTAGACCCCAAAGTAACCTAGGAACAAAAAGGAGTGCCCGTTTTACTCTTGTGGGGCTGATAGGGGAACCTAAGCCCTAAAAAAGGGGCGAACCACCCTAAACCCTAAACCCTAACAAAGGAATGAGGCCCTACTCTGGGTCCTAGACAAAGGAACGGTAAGCCCAGTGAAACAAATGCGAGAATGAAATGGGCGATCTGTAGGGGCTGGTTTAGGGTTAGGGGTTTAGGGGTTTAGGGGTTTAGAGGTTTAGGGGTTTAGGGTTTAGGGTTTAGGGTTTAGGGTTTAGGGTTTAGGGTTTAGGGTGTAGGGTTTAGGGTTTGGGGCTTGGGGTTTAGGGTTTAGGGAACCTTGGGCTGGGCTCGGTTTAGGAAGAGAAACCACAAGTAACCGTTTCAATGAGCTGGGTGCGAAGACATTTCAAAAAAAGAAGCCGAACAAACGTTACAACGTCCTGAGCAGCCGCGTGATTTGGAATTCAGAACAACCCTAAACCCTAACCCCTAAACCCTAAACCCTCAAGACAAAAACAAATAGAAACTGTATGTGATATCATTCTGAATTTCCCAAGTTGTTTGTCTAAACAGCTAGCTGACAAGCAGAGTTTCAGTCCAAGGCGAAAACGGTCAATTTTCTTTTCTCTCTGGCCCCCCTTCCCCCCCCCCCCCCCCCCCCCCCCCCCTCCCCCTCCTCTCCCTCCTCTCCCCCCCCCCCCTCCCCCTCTCCCCTCCCCCCCCCCCTCCCTCCGACCGCCCTCCCCCCCGCCCCCCCCCCCCCTCGCCCCCCCCCTCGCCCCCCCACCCCCCTTGCCCCCCGCTCGAAACTTTTTGGGACCCAAACCCTCTACAATTGCTGTAATGCGATTCAAAGCGTCACACCCCGCCCTGAACCATGGAACAACAAGAGAATGAAAGTAGGTTTATGCGATAAGTCCGAAGTGCCGAGTCATGTTGAATACAACATTGAAGCATTCCAGTGAGTAGCACCGACGAAGCAAGACCAGTTTTTTCGATACCTGTTTTCTCCTCCATATCGGGGGGGTTCCGGCAACAGCTCTGCTGCTTAGCTTTCTTTTGCTTGCACAGCTACAGCCGTTGCACCACTAGTCAAAAAGAACAGTCTCGCAGTTCTGTGTTTAACTAGCTGGCTGTCGAAATAAAAGTCTTGTGAACTAGGGCAGGCAGCTGTGCAGCAAAGAGATCAGAGACTGTACACCTCCGCAAGTCCAACCATTGTTCACTGCAGCTCGGAAGTCTTCTGGCGACACCTGAAATTGCAAAAGTGGCGCCAGCAAAATTTATTGCTTCTCCGGTCAATCTGTGCCTGGTACCAATTCTTCGGGCGCTTGAGTCGCCACTTCAGGCGGTGTTGCAGGGCGGCTGCAATCTCCGCCAGCGGGCAACGCTTCTTCATCCTTCAAGGAGTCGTTTTGGTGTAAGCTGAGTTTGCAGAAACATGAATCCATATGACAAGCGCAATCCTTCCCGCATACGGCTGTTCGCGGGGTCGCTGCAAAAGGAGTCTCATAGCTCGCCCTGCCGCACAAGCAGCGCTCTAATCAAGCAGACCTGAGACATGGACTTACGACTGCAATTTCTTAGAACAGATTGAAGTAAGCCTGCTTCGTGACCAAGCACAATACGTCCTCGTGGGAACCAAATACTTCCAAAGGCATCTGAGTTCACCAGGTCTTTCAGCTCGTCTGCCTATGTCGTTGTTTTTGAATCAGGTGCACTTCAACACGTGACAAACACTACCGGACTGACAGAAAAAACGATTTGCAAGCCAGGGACGAGAACTTTGAGGACTTTGCCACGGTCGAGCTTGAGAGGTTTGTTTCTCCTGCGGCTGTCTGCGTTGGGCTGCCTGCGGCGACTGTCCGCGTTGGGCTGCTCGCGTGGACGTTTCCTGCATCGGTATTGCGTTCTAACTGTCGTTGCTACTTTGCGAAGTATTGATGGCTGAGGATTCTGCAAGGCTATCTGAAACTGGCTGACCTGAAAGCCAAAGTAGCAAAAACGGGTGCATGTTCATACGGCGCATCAGTACGAAGGTCGAGGTCGCCGCCCTTGGAGGGGGGCACAATCAGGTCGGCATGAAAAAGGCCCGGGTTCCAGCCCCTCGCCCCCCCTCCCCCCCCACCCCTCCCCCGCCCCGCCGCCTCCTCCCTCCCTGCCTCCTCCCCCCCCCCTCCCCCCGTCCCAAAAATGAAAGACATAGTTCCAAAAAAAAAAAAAAACAAAACGTTCGGTCAAAACTTTCGGTCAAAACGTTATTGGGACCCAACCCTCCGCCCCAGTCCAACAACCCTTTCCGCGCGCTCCCCCCCCCCCGCCCCCCCCCCTCCCTGCCTCCTGCCTCCTCCCTCCCTGCCTCCTCCCCCCCCCCTCCCCCCTCCCAAAAATGAAAAACATAGTTCCAAAAAAAAAACTCGGTCAAAACTTTCGGTCAAAACTTTCGGTCAAAATAGGAATTCTTGGGCAGATTCCAGGGTCGTGCCCCTAAGGTCGTACCCCTACCCAGACCCCTGGAAGGATCCAAAAAGTAGAACCCCCGAATAGGGGTTTAGGGTTTCGGGTTTCGGGTTTAGGGTTTAGGGTTTAGGGTTTAGGGTTTCGGGTTTAGGGTTTAGGGCGTGCCAGACGGAAGCGCGCTTTGGGAGCGCGCAGTAGGGGGGAAACGCACAATCTCAGGACTCCAAGATCTACTGTTTTGGCCCTCTCAGCCAATACATATACGTAAGTATACATATAAAGCCCAAAGCTTCAAACCCAAACCCCAAGAAATCAAACTCCAACCCTAGGAACCCTAAACCCTGAGCTCTTTTCCTAAACTCCAACCGTAGGAACCCTAAACCCTGAGCTCTTTTCCCCTAAACCAACCTGCGACCTAAACGAAACCCGTGGTTCTTAGTAGCGAATGAGGAATTAGGGCCCTCTTTGGGAGTTTCCGAAAATAGGGGTACCCTTTTTGGGCCCTTGAGGGGATTCTATTCTAGTCGGGGTATAAAAGGAGGTACCCCTATTTTGAGACGTGTATATATATATATATATATATATATACGTATGTATATATAGAGCGAGGATTTTGTTTGTCAATTTTTCTGTTTTTTGTTTTTGTGAGTCTTTTGTTTTTCCTTGCTTTTCTTTTGCCCTCTGGTTCTGCCTATCCTCCTCCTCTGGTTGGAATTCTTTTCTGTGTATTTTCCTGTTTTTTTTGGTGAATTTTGCTGGTGTTCAGCTTCCGCAGGCTCCTCAGCGGTACCGCATATCCGGAACCTGACCACATCTAATGACCCTTGGGGTAGCAACCCCCCCGCCCCCCCCCCCCCCGCCAAAAAAAAAAAATAATGCAAACATGGTGCTCGCATGATGGGTTTGGACGGGATTCTTATTGTCTTAAAGCAAGCTTGCGCGCCTTCAAAAAGCCGGGGGGGTTTGGGGCCACCCACTCCCCCCCCCCATTTGCAAAGCGATGTTCGCAAAATGAGTTTTGGGAGCGATTCGTTGAACTATACTAAAAGCACGCTTGCACACCGGGAATCCCCCCCCCCCCCCCCCATTTGCAGACACAATCCCGCAAGATGAGTTTTGCAAGGAGAAGCACGCTTGGGCGGCTTATAACAAAGCGGGGGGGTTGGGGGGGGCGCAGCCCCCCCCATTAGGGTCTTTAGGGACAACCAAGAACGTGCGAAGCGAGCGGAACCCTAAACTCCTTCCATCCTTCCTTTCTTGCTTTCTTTCTTTTTCTTGTTTTATGTATTTCGTTCGTGTTGTTGTTTCTGTATTTCTTGCTTTCTTGCTCTCTTTATTTCTTTCTATCGTTCTTTCTTTCTTTGTTCCTTTCTTTCTTCCTCACTTCCTTCCTTTATTTCTTTATTTATTTTTCTTCTGTCTTGCTGTATATCTTTATTTCCTTTATTCCTCTGTCCCTTCCTTTGTTTTTTTATGTCTTGCTTTCTTGCTGTCGTTGTTTCTCTCTTTCTTTCTTGTGTTTTCTTTATTCCTTTATTTCTTCCCCCATTCCTGCCTTTCCTTTTTGCATTCTCTCTGTCTTTATATGTTGTCTTTCTTTCTTTCTGTCTTTCTTTCTAGTCCTGCCTTTCTTTCTTTCTTTCTTGATTTTCTGTCTTTCTTTCAATTCCTGCCTTTCTTTCTTTCTGTAGTTCTTTCTATATATATTTCTTTCTTTTCCTGCCTGTGTTTCTTTCTTTCTTGCAGTCTTTTTTTCTATTCATGCCTTTCTTTCTTTCTTTCCTTATTTTTTCTTCCTCTTGCTTCCTTCCTTTCTGTCTTTCTTTGTTTCTTTCTTTCTTTCTTCCTGTCTTCCTGCCTTCCTGCCTTCCTTCCTTTCTTTCGTGCCTTAAATTGACAAAAAACAGGAAAAAGCACCAAAAAAACCAGAAAAACCACAAAAAAAAACACGGTACCCTGTATATATATATATATACATATATATATATATAGAAATATATATATATATACACATGCCCTTAAAGGGATTGGAAAGGGTATGTCATTCCCTACCAAGAACTTGCCAGCAGAGACCCGCCTGCCAAACCCCCTAAGCGCCCCCAGAGGCCGTCGGAGCTTTGCGAAACATCCGCCCAAGAATCAACTATGATGGCCCTTAAAAGAGGGCTTAGGGTTGAGGGTTTAGGGTTTAGGGTTTAGGGTTTAGGGGAAAAATATTCCTGAACATGATCCTCTTAATAACCCATAAGGGAAAATTATAGCATGTCCCAAGGGCCCACCTGGTCAAGGGACCCAAAGCAGGCCCTCATTCCACTTTTTTAGAGTTTAGGGTTTACGGCTTGGGGCTTCCAGGCATATTCCCCTCTTTTCAGGGTCCAGGTTCCCTTACAAGCCCCTTCAAGCCAACAAGGGCACCCTTTTTTTAGGGTGTAGGGTTTAGGGTTTAGGGTTTAGGGGGTCTAGAGGTGTTGCCTGCAAGGTCGCACCCGTGGGTTGTTGGGATTTCTACTGTGCTCTTATCAAGGTTACATTGGGAGACCTTGGCTTTGGGATGCGCGGCTAAGTCAGGCAACCCTACTTTGGAGTAGACCCTGAAAAAATCTATACTTTTTGAAGGTAGAAGTAGCCATTACAGGAACCCGGAACCAATTAAAAAAGGTAGAAAGAAAGATATAGTAAAATTAGCCGTAACAGGAACCTAGAACCAATAAAAACATGTAGAAAAGTACAGTGCTCCAAAAACCCAGGCACTGAGGTCCAGGCCTGGTAGCTCTGCCCGGCATGGCAAGGGACGTGGACGCCGTAGTCATGGGAGGTCTTGAAGAACCTCATGATTCATGACTGAAGATGTTTTAAGGAATTTAACGACTCAGAATCTAGGGCTTCTAGGATTCTGGGTGACTGAAGAAATTTGCGGAGTATTTGGGGGTTTTAGGCTTAAGGGATTTAACGACTCAGAGTCTCGAGGGCTTCTCGGTTCAGCGCCTCTGGGGTTTAAAGCCTCAGGGTGGGGAATCCCAATCCAAACGACCGTGGAGGTGCTGGTGCCGAGACTCCAGAACGAGACGTAATGTTTGGCCTCCGCGCCCACGCTGAGAAGGAGCTACACTAAACCCTAAACCCTAAACCCTAAACCCTAAACCCTAAACCCTAAACCCTTCTCTGCGGCTTCTCCGCCTCCGCCTTCTTGCGGCGAGCATCCTGGGCCCGCTTGGTTCTACGCGGCGCGTCGCGCCCCGTCAGACCGCAGGGCCAGCACAGGTGGCTTCTTGTTGCGGGGCGAACTTGCATGACCCTAAACCCTAAACCCTAAACCCTAAACCCTAAACCCTAAACCCTAAACCCTAAACCCTAAACCCTAAACCCTACAAACCCTATAAACCCATGAAACCCCTAAACTCTTTACCTCTACGGCCCAAGCATATACCACATGGGTTCATGGGCCCCCCAGGGTACCCCAACCCCTAAACCCTAAACCCTAAACCCTAAACCCCAAAGCCTGGGTTATGGGCCCCTAGGGTCAGAACCCTGCAAGTGGCTTTGGCGCCTCCTACAAAAAGTAGGCAGGCCTTGGGCTGAGGCGTGGACCCCCGGGTTTAGGGTTTAGGGTTTAGGGTTTGGGGTTTAGGGTTTGGGGTTTAGGGTTTAGGGTTTAGGGTTTACGGTTTGGGGTTTAGGATGCTAGAGCGTAAACCTTAAAACAACTTTGCGAAAAAATCAAAGCTCTAAGACAATCCAAGCAAAAACAGTAAAAACACACACACACACTAACCAAACCAGCAAAACAATTAAACCCTAAGCCCTAACAACCGTAACGACCCTAACAACCCTAACAACCCTAACGACCCTAACCACCCTAACAACCCTAACAACCCTAACAAGCCTAACAACCCTAACAACCCTAACAACCCTAAGCAAACGCTCAGCCGTGAACTCCTGAGGCCGCGTTTCGCCGGACCGCAGGGGCCACTGGTTGGTGATCTGGGCGCTTGAGGAGCGGCTGAGGGTTTAGGGTTTAGGGTTTAGGGTTTAGGGTTTGGGGTTTGGGGTTTGGGGTTTGGGGTTTGGGGTTTGGGGTTTGGGGTTTGGGGTTTGGGGTTTGGGGTTTTGGGGTTTTGGGGTTTAGGGTCTACAGGGGCTTAGGGGCTTAGCGGTTTAGGGTTTAGGAGCTTAGGGGTTTAGGGTTTAGGACTTTGCTGGGGGATTAAGGTTTACGGGTTTTAGGGTTTAGGATTTTTGGGGCCTCCATTTTAGGAGTCTGAGGTTTAGGAGATTGCGGTTTAGGGTTTGGAGGCTTAGGGTTTAGGGAGGGCTGAGGGTTGAAGGTTTAGGGGTTTAGGGTAGAATACTATAGCCCTAAACCCTGACCCCTAAACCCCAACCCTAAACCCCGAACGAGTACTCGCTACTCATATTATATGGGGAAAGAGTACCCATGAATTCGTAATTGCTCAAGACCCCCAACCCTGAACCACTCTATCATGTAACATATAACTGTTCATGACTTCGAGGGCAAAGTCATGTTTCACCCTGGGAAAGGTCATATAAGAGCGGGCAAAAGGTCATAATATGAAAAGCGCGCAAGGTCACGAAACACCCGACGCCCGGGCGGGAGTAACTTGAAGCGGTTTCGGGAGGGGAGGGCCCGAACCACCCTGGGAAAAGAACTTGAAGCGGGTGCTTTAAGGCTTAAGGTTTGGGCCCAAGGCTAGGGGGCCTAAGGTTTTGGGATTGCATGAACTCTCTTAACGTCATGGGATTCTTTGGGCGGGTGGGTATATTCCATCACTTGAGAAGTTGTTTGACTAGTGAGGCTAGAACATGAGGTGCTGAACCCTAAGCCCCAAGCCCTAAGCCCTAAACCCTATAAACACTGCCCGCAAAGATGGCCACGAGGAGGCTTCCCTTTGTAATAGGATTCCTGTTGTCAGGGACTCTTATCCCATGGCCTTGAAGGGCGTTTCGAACAACTCCCACATAAGGCCTCCACCCTGAACCCTAAACCCATATCCCTAAACCCTAAACCTCTCTACCATATAAACCTAAATGTTAAACACGAATTAGGGAATCGGACCCCCATTGTTCAGCACGAATTTGGGAATTTGATCCATTTCGGCCCTTCTGACCCCTTGGCCCCCGCCATTGTTCAGCACGAATTTGGGAAAGTGATCCATTTTGGCCCCTCTGACCCCTCTGACCCCCCATTGTTCAGCACGAATTTGGGAATTTGATCCATTTTGGCCCTTCTGACTCTGACCCCCCCATTGTTCAGCACGGATTTGGGAATTTGATCCATTTGGACCCCTCTGACCCCTCTGACCCCCATTGTTCAGCACGAATTTGGGAATTTGATCCATTTGTGCCCTTCTGACCCCTCTGACCCTCCAATGTGGGAATTTGCCTCTCTGATCTTCAGGGGGGCAAAAGCTCTTTCGAAGGGCTGGGGGCCTTCGTGGGGGGTACGTACCCCAGAATTCGGGAAAAAGTGCTCGATTCAAATGACCCCCTCATTTTCCAGATTTCTCTTCTGGCCCTCTCAATTCTGGCCTTCTGACCCCAATTTGATCCGTTTTGGCCCTCTGACTCTGACCCCCCATAGTATTAGGGAATTTGGTCCATTTTGGCTCCTCTGACCCCTCTGACCCCCCACTGTTCAGCACGAATTTGGGAAAGTGATCCATTTTGGCCCCTCTGACCCCTCTGACCCCCCATTGTCCAGCACGAATTTGTGAATTTGATCCATTTTGGCCCCTCTGACGCCTTTAACCCAACTTGTTCAACACGAACAAAAAACACACTTTCTATTGTCGTACTGGTATGGGATTCTTTGGGCGGGTGGGTTCTTTTCCGTTGCCTACACACACTGCTGGCCTAGTAAATGCTCGAACTTGAGATGCTGAACCCTATACCCTAAACCCTAAACCCTCTCAATTCGGGACCCAGGGAACAGAACGTCCAGCCCCACCCCCTGCAGCAGCGTCCATGCCCATGGTCTATGTACCCGCACCTCTTGCTGGCCCTGGTCGCAGGTGAGAATGAAGTCGCCTTGCTGAATGATGTGTGCTTCCTCCTGGTCTGCTTCCGACCCATCATCCGACTCCTCAACCGAGATATTGAAGAAGAACGTCTCCCTAAACCCTGAAACCCAAACCCTAAACCCCAGACTCTAAACCCTAAACCCTAAACCCTAAACCCTAAACCCCAAACCCCAAACCCTAAACCCTAGATTGCAAGACCTTGAGGGGCCGGCGAGATCGGCCGTCTGCAGCCCCATGGTGTCATAGGGAACTGAAGCCAGAAGGGGTTTAGGGTTTGGGGTTTAGGGTTTGGGGTTTAGGGTTTAGGGTTTGGGGTTTAGGGTTTAGGGTTTGGGGTTTGGGATTTAGGGTTTGGGGTTTAGGGCTTTCGGCCTTAAGGGTTCCAGGGTAGATAGAGTGTCGAGGCCCCTCTACGCTTCAGGGTTGCCAAAGGGTTTAGGGTTTAGGGTTTGGGGTTTAGGGTTTGGGGTTTGGGCTTTAGGGTTTAGGGTTTGGGGTTTGGGGTTTAGGGTTTGGGGTTTGGGGTTTAGGGGTCTCGGGATCGAGGGCACTGGCTGCTGAGGGTTCTTTTCAGTCCGATATTTCATTCCAACTTTGGGTCCGTCAAAACCCTGGCAACCCAAACCACAAGCCCGGAACTCTAGACACCTAAACCCTATAAACCCTAAAATTCCATATCATACCCCATGATACCCTATCGACCCTATAATACCCTATAGCCTATAACACCCTAAAATACCATATAATGCCCTATAAACCCTGTAACTCCTACAGACTCTATCAGCCCTGTAAACCCTGTAAACCCTAAAAATCCTATAGACCCTTTGCACCCGACAGACTCTATAAACCCTAGCCCCAAGGGTTTAGCGTCATCAGGAACCGTCTTATGAGCCCTAAACCCTAAACCCTAAACCCTAAACCCTAAACCCTAAACCCTAAACCCTAAACCCTCAACCCTAAACCCTAAACCCTAAACCCTAAACCCTAAACCCTAACCCTAGACCCTAAACCCTAAATCCTAAACCGTCTTATGACTTAAGGAACTGTCGCTGATTAAAACAGGCCCCTCCTCAGGCTGATTGTTGGGACTTCCTTCGCCCAAACGAGCTCAAAACCCTAAACCCTGAAGTCTGAATCCTAAACCGACAGTTGAGGGTTTAGGGTTTAGGGTTTAGGGTTTAGGGTTTAGGGTTTAGGGTTTAGGGTTTAGGGTTTAGGGTTGACCTCAACCCGAAACCCCCACAAAAAAAACACAGCCACACTGACTCATCCAGGCCTGTCATGCCTGCAGCCATGGTCGCACCTTAGGCAAGCTGCTCTCTTTGTTTTTGGCTGATACCCAAGAGTAACCTAGGAATAGGAAGGGTTTGAGGTTTAGGGTTTAGGTTTTAGGGTTTAGGGGTAGACCCCACTCGAAGGGGTGTAGGGGTTTAGGGTTTTTGGGTTGTTGGAGCCTAGGGGCTTTGGGCTTTGTTTAGGGGTGTAGGTCTTCGGCAACATGTTGCGTTGCCCAGGAAGCTAAAACCCTAAGGTTCTCATTTTATTAGGGGTACCTAACCTACAACAAAGAGATACGAATTGACCAGGGCCAGCGCTAGAGGCATGCTTGCCGGTTTGGGGTTTAGAGTTCAGGGTGCATGGTGTTTTAGGGTTGAGGTTTGTTTCAGGGTGTACACACTGGTCTACGGGGCTTCGTGTTTAGGGTCTATATAGGGTTCAGGGTGCATAGAGCGTGGGGTTTAGGCGTTGAGGGCGAAGTTCTTTAAAGCTTGCTGCAAATGCTTGTTGCCGGAGTGTTGCCGATAAGGAGTGCAGGCACCACGCAAGAAGGGGTCCGAGTATAGATAGACAAGCTGACCCTATAAAGCCCAAACCTAAACCCTAAACAAGGCCCTCTGAAACCCAGAAGAGAAAAACATATCCCAAGAGCCTACTACCCCAAACCCAACATCCTACCACTCTACCACCCTAGACCCAAACCTGAAGCCCCCAAAAGGGATTGTCTCGCTGTCTTGGCCAAGACAGACCCTGAGTAGATGACAACACCCTAAACCAATTAGGGTTTAGGGTTTAGGATTTAGGGTTTAGGGTGAACAGAAACCCTTAACCACAAACCCTAAAAACTCTTGGGCCACTGGGCCACTGCAGCCTTGCAGGAGACGTGACGGATCTCAGCTCACCATCCTGGCAGATGCCCCCCTTACAGCAACAGCTCCCGAGAAAAAAGGGAGAAGCCCTGAGCCCTAAACCCTAAACCCTAAACCCTAAACCCTAAGCCCTAGCCCTATAAACCCTAAACCCTAAGCCCTAAACCCGTAGTAGGAGTTTAAGAGCCCATGATCAAGATCCTTCTAAGGGCTGTTGCTGCTGGAGGGAGATGACTGTAGGCTAGCCTACATACCCGGAAAGACGGGAAATGCGTCCAGTCTAGGTGCAACCTAGGATTGAAAGAAGGGAACCGGTTTTTGCTTAAATTAAAGGGGCTTATAAGGGAACCTACATCCCCAAAAAAAGGAATAAGGGCACTACTGGGCATCCCAGAGTTAGTTGGTATACTTACTGCTGGGGTTAGATGGGTTGCTCTAAGTAAGGGTTTGGTTTAGGGTTTAGGGTTTAGGGTTTAGGGTTTAGGGTCTAGGGTCTAGGGTCTAGGGTCTAGGGTCTAGGGTTTAGGGTTTAGGGTTTAGGGTTTAGGGTTTAGGGTTTAGGGTTTAGGGCTGAGGGTTTAGGGTTTAGGGTTGATGAATTTCCGCCTATACGGCTGCAGGGAAGATTTGGGCTTCGGAGAATGAGCCTGGTGGAACCAGAGTTTAGGGTTTGGGGTTTAGGGTTTTGGGGTTTAGGGGTTTGGGGTTTAGGGTTTAGGGTTTGGGGTTTGGGGTTTAGGGTTTGGGGTTTAGGGCTTAGGGCAGTACGGTTTGGGGTTAAAACAAAGGGCGCTTTTGGGGGTCACGGGTCGGATTTAAGACCTTGGCTGGCCGAGTGCAGAGGAGCCCTTTGGAGGTTAGGATGTTGCGGCGGAGGCTTAGAACCCTAAACCCTGAACCCTAAACCCTAAACTAGGGGTAGTAGGGTTCAGGGTCCAGGGTCCAGGGTTTGGGGTTTTAGGTCTCAGGCTTTCTGTCTAGGCCTAACCACATGCTCCGTGGCCCCAACAATCAGGGGTCTATTGGCTTAGTTGTGGGTTTATAGGGTCCTTCAGGGAGGGGGGTTTCATACCTAGGATTACGGAACCATAGGGAAGCTGACAGAGCCTTAGGGAGTAGTGGGGAGTACTAGTGAACCTTGGGCTACATACCCCGCCTGAACCCCCGTGCCTTAACGCCTCTTTAAAGGGTGGAAGCCTGAAATGTCTAAAACCCGCCAGTGCTTAAAAAGGCAAAGAGAATACACGTTGTTCACTTGCCCTGTCTTCCTTCAAACTTTATAATTCTCAACTTCCTGATTGCTCCACGACATGGCAATTATATAAAATATAAAAATGTATATGTCTATGTATAATACGATTCTTGACTCTTCGTCAACATTCTCACAGGTGAAAGCCAACAATTTTATAGGATCTTAGGGACCTGAACCATAAACCCTAAACCTTTTTACCTTAACCCCCCAAACCTTAAACCCTTAAACCGTTCACCCTCAAGTTTCAACTTAAACCACAAACCTCTAAACCCAACCTCAAAATCTCAAAACCCTAAACCTAAGGATACATGTGAACCCAAGACACAGGACGCTTGAATGCGAAACCCGAAGCCCCACACCCTAAGCCCTGAGCCCTAAACCCTAAACCCTCTTATGTGCCTCTGCTCCCACATTCAGTGACAAGCACCGCCCTCTGCGAGTTCCCGCGTTGAGCCCGGCAGAGGATGGGGGTTTCGAGTTGAGGGCTTGGGGTTTAGGGTTTAAACCCTCAACCCTAAACCCTAAACCCTGCAGTTTAGATGTAAGGTTAAAGGTTTAGGGTTTATGGCGGAGGCTGCAGGGCTACCTTGAGATCTCAACATCTTCTCGCATGCCACAACTGGCCATGACACTCTAACCCCTACAAGGCGGACTCTTCGGTCCCTGAACCCTAAACCCTAAACCCTAGACTCTAAACTCTAAACCCTAAACCCGAAACCCGAAACCCGAAACCCTAACCCTAAACCCTACAAAATCGGATGCCTTGGGTTCGAAAGTTAGGAAGGCAGGGTGTGAGAGGAGGTCCTGGGAGGCTTTGGGGAACCCCTACAGCCTAAGCATGCCTGGAAACTCCGTTTCGCTGGGGCGCACTAAGCAGTGCCCTAAACCCTAAACCCTAAAACCCTAAACCCTAAACCCTAAACCCTAAACCCCCATAAACCCTAAAGTGCATGCCCACCACCTGGGGTTCAGGGAGCTTCAGGCCTCCAGCCGCCCATCCCTAAACACCGATAAACCCGAACCATCTCGGTCCAAGGTTCAAGGTGCTCCCCCAGGCTCCCAAAGTTTAGGGTTTAGGGTTTAGGGTTTAGGGTTTAGGGTATAGGGTTTAGGGCCCAGGGTAATCCCTAGAACTCATAAACCCCCTAAAGTGTAGGAACTGGTCTCTGGGTGTGCAGTTTGTGTGTGTGTGTGCGCGTCTGCTGAGTGCCTCTTTCCGGCGGTATAGGGCTCCGGGATCAATTTTTCGATCCTAGGGTTTAGGGTTTAGGGTTTAGGGTTTAGGGTTCAGGGTTGAGGGTTTAGGGCCATGCGGGGGGGGGGGGGGGGCTAAGTCGAGCATGGCTTATGGGATTCCCAGAGCTTGGCGACTTTAGCCCTCCGACGAAAACTCCCAACTGAGGGCCCCCCGAAAGCCAGCATAAGGCTAAGCCCACAACCATAAAAAAAAAAAAAAAAAAAAAAAAAAAAAAAAAAAAAAAAAAAAAAAAAAAAAAAAAAAAAAAAAAAAAAAAAAAAAAAAAAAAAAAAAAAAAACTGCCCTAAGCCCAACTAACCTAAACCCCAAAGCCCTAAGCCTACTTTTTGGGAGGTTGCTTAGAAGACCCTAAACCCTAAACCCTAAACCCTAAACCCTAAACCCTAAACCCTAAACCCTAAACCCTAAACCCTAAACCCTAAACCCTAAACCCTAAACCCTAAACCCTAAACCGAGCCCTCTAACAGGCTTTTCTGATGATGAGAGCCTACCAAAGACCGGGCTTGGGGTTCTTTAGAGTGACTGAGCCGGACGTGGGAACTTGGCGACTCAAGGTTTGTCTAGGGCTTAGGGTTTAGGGTTTAGGGCTTAGGGTTTAGGGTTTAGGGTTTAGGGTTTAGGGTTTAGGGTTTAGGGTTTAGGGTTTAGGGTTTAGGGTTTAGGGTTTAGGGTTTAGGGTTTAGGGTTTAGGGTGTCGAGGGGCCGGCAACGCGCCAAATTTTGATTCGCATGTGTCTCTCTTGCACTGTGGCATGAATGCAGGGACGCCAGCAACGACCTCGTGTTCGAAGCTTCTGACACGCTAAACTCTTTTCCGGGTTTGCGAGTAGGACCTTGGGATGTTCACCTTCATACTAACAGTCTTAAATAGGGGTTATAGTAGCCTACTATAATCCCTAAGGACTGATAGAAAGATAGGATAAGGGGGAACATCCTAAGCAGGACCCGTCAAAACAGAAACGGCGCTACGATTGAGAGAGAGGGGGTGGCGGGGGGAGGGAAAGGTTTCTACTATACTTGAAGGTTCACGGGTCGTTCATAAGTGGGGCCATGGCTACCCCAAATACGGTCCTGCATACCCACCATGGGTTTAGGAAACCCTAAACCCTAAACCCGAAGCCTTATAGACCCTAAACCCTAAACCCTAAACCCTAAACCCTAAACCCTAAACCCTAAACCCTAAACCCTAAACCCTACAAGTAGAAACCTGCACACGGCGCCCCTCCCGAGGGAATCTTTCAAAAAACTGATCCTCGCACTTTTGCGAGGTAAGGGCAGGGCAGCGGTGTGGACATGAACCTCCTTGAAGCCCTGTAGGGTTTAGGGTTTAGGGTTTAGGGTTTAGGGTTTTGGGTTTTGGGTTTAGGAATTAGGGTTTAGGGTTTAGGGTTTAGGGTTTAGGGTTCGGATTCAGGGTTTAGGGTAGTTGTAGGGCATAAGCCCTGTCCCTAAGGCTCCAAATCGCCCCAAGGCCGGTGTTTCAGTGTTTCTTACAGACGCTAGACCTCAAGGTAGGCATTCTCAACCCGAAGCCCCAAACCCTAGACTTTGGGCCACACTGTTGGCATTCTTTACAATCGGAACCCGTTCCGGATTGATGGGTTGAGGGGTTTAGGGTTTAAGGTTCAGGGGCTTAGG